AAATGAAATTCATTCTTGCATTTCCTGTGGCTGTCGTTGGGAGCAATTATGGCCACAGTGACCAATATGATCTGGTTCATTGCTTCTGTGCCTGTTTTCACATGAAAATGCCAAAACAGAAAAACTGATTTTGATTCTGATCTTAGGATACCTACATATCTAGTTAAATGACTTTCCACCTATAACCTAGCCCCATTTAGTAGCATAATTTTCATGGAAGAAACTGAAGTATGTTTAGACTTTGTATGTTTTAAATAGCAGCATAATTTGCCTTGCTATTGACAAACATCACCACCTCTTTTATGACTTCCTCCTACAGGACTTCCAAGAATTATCACACTAACTTTCAAAAAGAAAAAGATCAAAAATGATCACTGGGTAAACTCCATAATTTTATTGCCATACAATTTTTTTCACATACAATCTCCTAGATTCCCTCGAGTGAAAACAATGGCAACTGTTCTCGTCATTAACTTTCTACTTTACCATAAATAACCTCATTCTTTTCCTTTCCCATTTTCTCTGTAGAGATCATGAGAAAACTAGAACTCAGTATACCAAAAGGAACTACCATTTTCATCTGAGTTCATAGGAAGAGGAAAACAGAGAATGGATTTTGTTTTACCTCTAATATACATGTTTGTTTGGGGTAAATTATTGACTTATTATTAATACTTCCCATCCAATGGTTACCTTCTGAGGAAGGTGACAGTAATCCCTTTCTTACACCGATTCTTGCTACTGTAATAACTTCTAGATATGAGGGAAGTTATAAAACGTGTAAGAAATTAAATAAAGAATAATAAAAGAGAATGAAGGAAAATGGGAAATTGACAGGAAATTGACAAAGCCATGGTGAATGAAATTAACTTCCAGTAAAATTTTAAAATGATAAAATTAAGCAGACAAGAAGAAATATTAACATACAAGAAAATCTTGAAAGAAAAATAATTTCAAGAAAATAGAAACGGCTGGTCTTTGAAGAATACTATGGCATTCTTAACCAGGAAGTCCAGGCAAAATGTTTAAAGTCCCTATTAGTTGTTCTACTTCAATATGCAAGTTTACTTGCTAAAGCGTTAATCAGAAACGTTAATTAAGGAATATTTGCAAATAGGAATAAAAACCCAAAATGTATGAATAATTTTAAAATGCATTTTCCTTACTCTCCCATTCTACTGAAATAAAATTTAAAAGCCAATACAATTCTTAAATAAATTTTCGTTCATAAGTATAACATAAGGGGCTCCATTTTTCTTGTTGCCTATTGCTCCTGGATAATGAGTTGGGAATTAAGGGTGACACTGTAGCTCTTTCCTCCATACTACTATGGTAACTATTTACTAAAGTTCGAAGTTACAGCACCAAAAGTACAGAGAAAAATGTGAAAGAATCAATAATGCGCTAACTTGAAGAATGACGTATTCCTTACCATGTCTTTTCCACCTATGACCTCTTATTGACATGCTGGTTACTGCATTTCTTGATATTCTAGAGGAAGTTGGTGTGATTTCAACTTGAATACACCTTGTACCTTCCTTACTAGATTTCATGGCACCATGAGGCAATGAAGCCTTTATTGCATTAGCAACCTAAGAAGGAAAAACATAGTTTAAGATTGACATTAAAAGATGTATTATTTTACCCTTAGATAAAACATGATGCTAAATGCTAACAGGTTTATATAAAGAATGCTCTTTCCAAGGTATTTCATAAGATGATACATAAATCCTTTAGAATAAGAAGAAAGAGCTCAGAAGGGAACTCATGGTTAAAAAAATATGTAAGTAATGAAGTTCAAATTTTCAAAATATTACATTATATTTCCAAATGCTAATTAATAAGTACAGCTAAAGTATTTTAAGGAGAACATTCTTATAAGTTAAAAAGATTATCAGATATCTAGGAAGTTATTCTAACAAAATTTTCAAATTTTTATATATACCTTTTTAAATTATAAAATTTTCCACATATAACAAGAGCATGAATCACTGAGTATTAATGATACATTAATCAACCATGAATGGCTACTTCTCAATTTATAGTTCTAGGTTGAGAAGTCATAAACTATAAAATTTACATAAATAAGTAAGGTACTTACCAGCAACGGCTCTGGATATAATTCTAGCTGGGCTCTGTATATAATATCATCCAATGCTTTTTGAGCTAGATCCCATTCTCCATTATAACTATAATATTAGAATTGAACAAAATATAATGAGAAACTATTTATCTTTACTGAGGAAAATAACAGATCATATTAGCACAGTGCTTAACATTCTACTCCTCTTAAAAATGTACTTTTAAATCTTTTAATTCCTTTCATTGTATCTAAAAGCTTATTAATAGCAAAGAAAATTTTATGGATGTACATTTCTTCTCTAAAGAACATGACTATTTATAGAACAGAAATCAAAAAAGCTAAGGCAATTTCAAAGCATTTTACCCTTTCAAAGTAAGTCAGAGAATAATAAATTATATACCTCAAAATAATGTTCAGAACACTTTATGGTCAAATTACTCTATAACTCCCGGAGTTTTTAATGAGAATCTACAACTACTGTGGCTTGCAATATCCTGAGTAGTTATTTCTTTACATTTTGATAGTTATTTAGACGGGTACATGATGTATGTTGCAACTAGCAAAGAAATATGAGTGGAAAAGTGTGTGTATGTGTGTGTGTGTGTGTGTGTGTGTGTGAATTTTCAAAGATATGCTAAGCCCTTCCTAAAAATCAGCTAAATGAATAGAGAGATAATGGCTTGGTCATCTGCCAACAAAATAAAGAGGCATGAATTACATCAAGAATGTAAGTGAGGCCTAAAAAACTGGAAAGAGCATTGCTTCCTAAAAATAAGACAAAACCAAGTAATCTTCAAAATCATAACTTCCCATGAATCCATCAAAAAGCTGAGGTTACAGGGCATCCAAGTAGCCTGAACTCTAAGGGTAGACAGATGCCTCTAAGGAGAGAATGGACCACAATACAAGTGGGTAAGAAGAATTCAGCTAAACTTTTTAATAAATTCATAAAAACCAAATTGCTAAAAGCTAGCTATGGGCTAGCATGACAGTACAGAATCTCTGGGAGCACATATATGGGGAGCTCATACCCATTCACAGGGTCTTCTCCATATTCACAAGAAAAACTGGAAACAGGGCAGAGGACCCAAAGAGAAAGCTGCCCTTGGCAGTACAGGCCTGAAGGAGAAGAGCAGCCATTCACATGCAGAAAGCACAAAGACCCAGCCAGACCATTTTCTTACATGGAACAATAGTTTTAAAGCCTTTGGGGAAAGAGCAGCAAACCCTTTCTCCTCCAGGACACAAGTGAAGATCAATTTGGCTCTGAGGGTAAGAAAAAGAAAAAAAAAAAGCCCTCATTCTACCTTGAGATCACTAGAGGTCTCTTACTGCTGGAGGAGGGGCAGGACTACTGAGAAACTTCCATTCCTGAGATGCAGGGACATGGGGTCTGCCTAAAATAGGCTGGAACAGGACAACAGAGAACACTACACTCCCCTTTATCCTCCCCCCCACCTCCCTACCCCCACCGCCACCAGGCTAGTATACACCTAGAAACAAGCAACAACACTCTACTGCTAGAGGACGGGCAAGAACATGGAGAGAGACCCTCTCTGAAGCGCAAGCATACAGAGAAGGCTGAAAGCTGAGGATGAAGCAGGAATATTAAGAAAAACCCTTCAGCAATCCAGCTCCCTCTCTATGTACCAAGTAGCACTAGAACAATTTGAAGTAGGTGGTACCCTGAAGGTAACCACAGCAATAACAAAACCCGACCCCAGCTCACTCCTGCCTGTAACATAGCTCCACTAGCAGCCTAAAAGAAAAGAGGCCTGCCTATTTCCTGTCATAAATAATATTTACCTCAGTCTCTACTGTTCTACCCCTGAACAAAATCATAAACAATAAAAAATTGCAAAGAACACAAAAAGCAAGCAAAAAAAAAAAACCCGATCAAGAGATAGAGCAGGACTTGGGGGGGAGGGGGAGCAAGGGCAACATACGTAACCTAAACATCTGTACCCCCATAATATGCTGAAATAAAAAAAAAGAGAGAGAGAGAGCAATCAATAGAACTAAATTCAGAGATGATCCAGACGTTGAAGTTATCAGGGAAATTAAAATAACTATGATTAATATACTAAAGGCTAGTGGAAAAGGTGGACAACAGGTGTGAACAAATGAAAATTTCAGCAGGGAGATGGGAACTACAAGAGAGTCAAATGAAAAGGCCAGAAATAAAACATGGTAACAGAGGTAAAAAATGCCTTCAGTGACTTCATTAGTAGACTCAACCTAGTCAAGGAAAAAAAAATCAGTAAACAGGAAGATCGAATAGATCAACAGAAATTCCTTAAACTGTCTATGGCCTGAACACACCTAATTTCATCTGATCTCAGAAGCTAAGCAGTGTTGGGCCTGGTTAGTACTTGGATGGGAGAAATTACTTAAACTGAAACATAAAGAAAAAAAAAAGGTAAAATAAAACAGATCAGAGCATCCAAGAACTATGGGACAATATTAATGGGCTAACACAGTGGTCAGAAAATTTTTTCTTAAAGGGTAAGACAAGTATTTTAGGCTTGTGGGCCTTAGTGTGTCTATCACTACTATTCAACTCTGCCACTGCAGCACAAAAGCAGCCATAGACAATACATAAACAAATGAGCGTGACTATGTTTCAATAAAACTTTATAAAAACAGGCAGCAGGTCAAATTTGACCCACGGACCATAATTTCTGCCTTCAGGAAAGAAGCTTATAATCTACCAGGAAAAATTAAAGTATCGAGTAAATATAATGCAAAGTACAGTATGACATGTGTAATAAGAGAATTACAAAGTAAAAGATAGGGTCCAAAGAAAAAATACTATTACCTAAGTCACTAGGTAAGACTAAGCACTAATATGAGAAATTAATAGTAAGTTAATAATGAACTATTTCTGATCAAAGAGGCTCTAAAATGTTTTTAAGAGCTAAAGTTTCCAAAAATGGAAAAAGATATTTATTGGAGAAAAAAATCCATTTGGAAATTATAGCCAAAAAAAGTAATAAAGGGACTATGAGTATATTTAAGTGTTACTAATTTTCATTCTGTCCTTGAATTAAAGAAAGATGATGAAGTATTTTAGTTGGTTATAAATGCTTTATAACTTGTTTTAAATAATAAAACTGTCATCAAGATCTTGATTCATATTCTCCCACCAAAAAATGCTGATTTTTTATCTATCAAGATTATAATATAGTGACAATAGATTAACAGACTATAATTTTCCAAAGAGATCAAAGGTTTACTTTGTATATAAGATAAACTTACAAGGCAAAATAAATTCCTGTTAACATTTGTACCATGAATCCTGAAGAAACTGGTATCCTGCTACTTATACCTTTGTATTTTCTTACATGTTGTCGAGGATATCCACAAACACAGATTCTAGAAAGACCAAAATAAATATATTTGTAAAATTAGTAAAACTTTAGGTAATTTATTTTTTAACATTTATAAGTCAACAATGTACTAAGTACATTTTCATAGCAAACCTATAATCTATGAAACAAAGAATCTTTCCAAATAGAACATTTGTCTACAACATTTTCCTGAGTTAAGTTATACTGGGAAAAGTTTATAAAGCTAGAAGCATGTCAATAATTAAGTTGGTAAGTGAACCAGATTCATTTATTGGTTGGTTTGCTAAATTTGGTCAATTCTATTATTAATAATTTTTGGCTACTGCAAAACCTATTACACGGAACTTGGCACTAGTTGTCATAAATAGATCTGTGGTATGATCCTCAATTCCTGATAGAGTTCTTGACACAAACTGCAGGATCCAAAAAACTGCTATGGCATAAACTCAAATCTCATACAGTGCACCATAATAAACTTTAGATAGAATAAAATTCTTAATGTTTAAAAACCATAAAAGAAATAAAACATAAGGAAATAGTTATATACTCTCTGCATGCTGCCTAATCATGACACCAAAGGCAGAACTACAAAGAAATAGCAATAGATTTTACTAAATTTTTTTAAAAGAAGCTACCATTAACAAAATTGAAATGTTAAGAAATATTATAGTAAGGAATATTTAAGGAGTACTAAAGTTAAGGACTAGTTATTACAGTAAAAAGGAAGCCATGTAAATGTCCAACACAGGAGATCAGTTATATAAATCATTCAGAGAATACTATGAAGAAATTAAACATGAAATTTTGAAAGTCTATTTAAATGACAGGGAAAAAAACTGTTCAAAACAACATGCAGCACAATATCATTTTGTAATAAACAAACAGGCATATGTGTGTGTCACCTCAAAAAGACCATATACAAAGTCATCGTCATCTTTGATCTGTGGGATTATAGACCTATTTTTTCTTATATTTACATACATTTTCTGAATTTTCTATGATCAACATGTACTGTTTTTAAAATAAAAAATTAGTTTCTATTTTTAATAAATAAATTTATTAGAAAATAGCTGCTTTCTCATAATATGCTGTGGTTGATATAATACAACCTTCACCTAACAGGGCATGAGCCAATAAGCTGGAATTATTTACCCACTCTCCCTATGCACTCACTACCTGGAACTTAGAATTTCCTCCACTCAATGAATCTAAGCCTTCACTTAAAAATGCCCAAGATCATCTCAAAAATATTCCACTGAGAATGTCATTAATTCAAAGCAAATTTAAAGAATAAATATAAACTCATTTGATATTGAAAGGATCTCAGAACTCTTTAGAATCAAGAGTAAAAAGCAGAGAAACTGAGAAGAATTTGCTGCATGCAAAATAAAACCAACTCAAATTTTGTTTGAAATTATAAAAATTTATGCCCAAACTAGAATATAGACTCCTCTTTTATTATCTAAAGAAGCAAACTTAGAGAATTTTACTTTCTTGCACCTTACACTTTTATGATACGGATGGTAGTAAATAATAGAGAACTAATGCATGAAAGACAAGAATTTTCAATGAATTCATTTATTCATTCAGTAAATGATTATTAAAAACCGATCTTGTGTCAGACACTAGTTCCCAAGGGGACTCACAATCTAATCATGGAGACTGTGCAGTAAGCATAAATTGCAATGAGCAAGTTCCAGAGGTGGCAAAAGGAGAGCATGGTAAACTTAGGTGGAAGAAGTGGAGACTCAGAGAGGACTTCTCAGAAGAAGATTCCCTTGAACTGAGTCTTGATGAAAAAGCAGTATTTTTCCAAGTAGAAATCATAGGAAAGGGCAAAGGCAGAGGAAGGATGAAACAGCATGGCATCAAGCAGACTGGAGAAATTTTAATAGGATGGAATGCTAGGACACTAGGAAACAACAGAGAAGCTCATCAGATCATGGAATCCTACAATGGAGTATCTTACAACCTGCTAGGTTTATTACATAGACGTTGGGAAATGACTAAAGGTTTTTGTTTTGGTTTGTTTTAAACAAGGGAGTAAAATGATCAGATTGGTCTTTCGATAATATCACTCTGGCTATAATACTGGAAGAGTTCACTGAGATGGGAGGTGTGTTGGGGTGGGGTCAAAATATCCCAGGAGTGAGTTGAATGGGCACCAATCCAAAGAAGCAATGGTGGGGAGAAGGAGGAAGGATAGGATTGGAGTCACAGCTAGGAAATATAAAGAGGGTGAGACTGATGAAATAAGAGGAGTGGATAGTTATTCCCACATTAAGTTTGGATAGCTGGCTGAACAGAAATGTCATTAACTGAATTAGGACAAACAGAACATACTGTTTTAGAAGATGCTAAGTTTCAGATATGTTGATTTTTAGACATATGGTGTAACGTCAATTTTGTGTCATTTCCCACCCATCTTCCATGAGAAGCACTGCCTTCCCTCTTACTTTAGGAAATAGTCTTTCCCTATATGTGATGATGGTAAGGCTGTCAAGAAAACTATCACTACCCCAGTATCTATTTTTAATAATATACATAATATATATAAGGCCCACTACCACTTTCCTCTACCAATTTTAGCTAGGAACAATGGCCATCCTGCTAGAGACTACATTTTCTAGCCTTCCTTACATCTAAGTGTGACCATGTGACTAAGTTCTAGACAATGGTATGTTAAACAAAGTGGTGAAACTTCTAGGTTCTGCCCTTAAAAAATAGCTGCATGCCTTCCACTCTCTTTCTCCCTGCTTGTAGGATAGAAGGCAGGTGTAATAGTAGTGATCAGTAACCATACTGACAATGTTAATACCCTAGGGAATGTAGAATCCCAACATAGAAGGAGCTTGAACATGTTAAAAACATAGCCAATCTACTCCCGAGACCATCTAACCAGCTTGGACTTTTACCTGAGAGAAAAATATATGTCAACTTTAAATTATCAATATTTAGCTCTGTCAAAACAACCAAACCAATATTTAACCTGATACAGTACTCTTCTAATAATACTGCCCAACATGACCCCAGAGGGGTATGTAGAAGCCTCAGGCTGGCATGACCCTCTGCTGGATGTTTTCCATGTTTCAAGAGTTCTAAATCTAACAAGGTATTTATGGGACATCTTGATGGTTCCTGGATGGGATACACAGGTTTAGAAATCAGGAACAAGTAGCATAGGGTTTAGGAAAGAGAATATGGTCAGAAAGATAAGTTATTGCTGTTACTACACAACTTTTCTTTAAAAAAACAACTTTGCCACGGCTCTAGAATTGTCACTCAACTTTTAAATTTACTTTATGTAAGAACTACAGAGACAAATCTCTCAAATACCAACACACTTGAAAGATTTACAAGGAAAAAAAAGATTTCAGGTCCTCTCATTTTCTCTACTAGCTATTCATAAGGAAATAAGAAGTCATCTATCAGAGGTTGAAATTAAACCTTTACTCAGAAATGCAGAGTTAGTTTTTTATAACTAATAAAAAACTAAAATTGGTGATTTTATATTTACCAATAAAAGATTTTTAAAACTAAAAACCTAATTATTTCCTTTAATCCTAATTCTACTCATCAAGTCATAAATCTGAAGTAGAAGCACTCATCTATCATTCATTCATTCATTCATTCAACAAATAGTTATTAAGGTTCCCATATGCCACGTACTTTTCTAACCTCTCAGGAGATAGCAGTAAATGACACAGTCAAAGATCCTGACCTCATGATGTCTCTAGCAGTTGACAGACTACACTAAATGAACAAACAAGGTAATTACAGTGTTACAAGTGCTACAAGACAATAAACTGGGTGGGAAGGTGCTACTTTAAAAAAGATGGTCACAGAAGGGCTCTCTCATGAGGTAACATTTGAGAGGAGACCAAAAACAGTCCAGCTGCATAATTAACTGATAATGGTACTTCTTCTCCATTCCTTTCTTTTGGTACTTAAGAATTCTCTGATTTACTCTTCAATTTTCTGATCTCTCTATTCGAGGGTATTGTTCTCTCACTGAATTTTAATAAAATGCAAAACACAAACGAATCAAAAACAAACCATAAAGCTATACACCACATGAATGCCTGACTCCTCTGTTCACCCTCTACAAGTCCAAAACATAAGGATCTGACCTTACAAAAGAGCAGCCGAGTGTCATAATCTCTATTTCTGTATTAAATTTACTCTGTGGTCACATAGATATTTGCCAAATTCTTAGGCCATGTTAAAATAACATCACTTTTGTAAGGTGCACTTTGTCAATCCATTTCTAAGAGAAGTTCTAGGTATCAATTTGTAAGTGAGGAAAACTCTTGCTGTGATTCTCATTCTCTGTTGAGAGATATTTATCTTACTCTTAGAATGAAAATAAACTTTTGAGATTTCTGTTAATGTATTCTACGTTACAAACTATAAAATAATTCGAAGGCCCATTCCAGTGAGTTTATTTATTCATGAATATATCAGAACCTAAAGTATAATAGAAGAGAAAGGTTAACAACTATTATCAGATCTTCAAATCATCAGACCAGCAAGTAGAAACTTGCCTAAAAAGAGGAAACAATTGTTTTCTAATTCTTAATTTGAGAGATATTTAAAACCTTGGTCTACTTATACTTAATAGCCATGTGGATTATGAAATGAAACTAACCAATTTTGAACTTTTTTCTTTCCTGTTCTGCTTTTTAAAAAGTGGGAAGCAGAATAGGGAAAAGTCCAGGGGATTAGAAAAAGGGGCAGTAAAGGAGAAAAGAGAAAATGGAAGAATTGCTTAAACAGTAATGAGTACTTTTCTGTCTTCCTCCTTCTGCTCTTTGAAATTAAGAACTTAATAAAAGTGGCATTTCCTGTCACTTTCCTCAAGTAAAGACCAAACATAACAGTCACGCTTAAGTAGTTAGAGAAAAGCTTATTTTAATGGATTGTGAAGGATGGACAAAATTTAGATAGGAATAAAGAAGCTTCCAAATAAAATAATAAGCAATGAAAAAAACCAAAAAATCAACCATAAGTCCTTCCAATAAGGAATGGCCTAATATCAGGTATGTTCTAGAACTGTTGATAATAGCAAACAGGTAAGAAAAAAAAGAAAGCAAAGCTGTGCATTCATAGTGAATGTGCATGTTCATTACTGGCACACAATAATGATAGCTGTCATTCAGTAGATGACAACGAAGTGGATGACACTGTGATAAGTGCTTTATATTTATATAAATAATTTCATTAGTCAGGAGAATTAATCCACAAAATGGCTTACTTGCACAAAGGTGCCCTTAATGGACAGAAAACAAAAAGAAATCTGTTCAGGTTATCAGGAAGATTGACCTGGAACTGAGGAGGGGGGCAGGGTTTCATTACAGATACACAGAAACAAATACACCGATTAGGAATTCACAGCTATCCATATTCAAGTCAGTCAGCTAGATGACTCATTAGTTGAACAAAATCAGAGGCATCCCTTATGGGAGAGAATTAACTTAATAGCTTAGTACAGTTTCATCTTTAATACTTCTATTCCACATCAAAAGGCAAGATAAGCCATCTGCTGAACAACTTTGTATTAATAGAGATGTCCGACAGTAAAAAAAGAAAAATATCATTTCCTCAAACTTAGAGCATTCTGGTATAGACTCACAAAACTTATTTGTAGCATTGGTGAGTATATTTCTTTTAGTAGTGCCATATATGATGTTTAGTATTAGCAGAGAATAAAAACTTGTTAACTATAACATAGTCAGTCTAGCTCTTGCCTACTTTTAGATCTCTTCTTTAAGCAGACCACACACACTACAGAGGAAGAAATCACAGGCTATCAAGCTGGCCATCAGCCTGAATCAGGAGAGCGAAGCTTATAGTAACTGAGCAGCTTTTTGTTCAGTAGAATGGATATGGATGTGTATGTGTGCAGATGGAGGGTAGAAAGTGTTCAATAATGTTTTAATTATTTCCACAACTCATTACAATCTGAAGATTAAATAATGGGACACATTTGCCACTGAATCTAGCTCATATATTCCATGAAATTTTCCTGGTTGCATTTATATATCCTTCTTCCTAGGTGTCCAGTCCATCATTTTGGTATAATCATCAAGCAAACTGAGCAGCAAGCTGACACAACTGCCACCTGGCCAACAGGATTGGATTAGCTATAAAACAGTGTGACCAATTTCAACTCCAGGAAAACCTGCACTAGTACGAAGATCATCAAGAAGCTCTTGTACTTAACTATCATAACTGTTTATAACTTACTTATCACCACAACTCTAACCAATTTTCTTTCCACAGATTCCATAGATACGAACTAGGCTTAGCTTGATTACATAGAAACGTTTTCTAATTCTTTTCTAAAAATTCTTAAAAACATACAAAACCTCTTAATTAGAATATTTGATAAATGATTAAGGAAGCCAGAAGTTAAGAGAAATGAATAACTGGGTTTTACCATTAAGAATACAGTAATAGGGAATCTAAAATAAAAATAAAAAACCTAAACAACTAAAAAAGACAGGAATGACAAATTCAATGGAATTCCTCTTATATAATGTTTTGTGGTTTAAGAGTTAGCATTACTTAAATAGCTTAAGTCTTTTGAATTACTTAGAACTCTTTTCTACCCTCATTTTCTTATAGCTCGTAGACATTTACATGGAATTATTTCTCTTGTGGCATAGACTAATCTAATATATTTCTACTAAAATCTTCCTTGGCCAAATTCCTATAGCTAGCTTTAAAATAATCTACATTTCTCTTTGTTTTTAAAATCAGCTTTTACTTGGGTTCTTTGTTGAAAGATTATTCAGTTTCCTGGTTAGGTAAAATTGGTACATTAGCAATTTCCTACCCATACTGTGAAAGTAATTATATTAGAATGCAGTACATTAAGGTTACACAGAGCAAAAACCAGTGATACATGTTCTTTCCTAACTTTTCAGGGAAACATCAAAGGTGGTTCTTATTAGGGCATTGTATTAGAACATCTGTGGAACTTCAAAAATGTATTTATACATATAATACATAAAATATAAATACATGCATTCATATATACATACATACATATGCATTCCTGGGTCCTACCATCTAAAACATTGCTTCAGAGTAGGACCTGGACTTTGTAATGTGTTTTAAGTTCTACAGGTGAAAACTGCTGCATCAAGTTACTCCTTAAACCAGTACTTCTGAAGTATTGGTTTGTACACTTGTTTTTGTCCATAACAAAGTTTTCACCAGATCATAATAAAATGAAAAGAAAGGAAAGCTAAACATTTTTAATTTATAAATTGCTGGCCTTCTCTTCCACCTTTCTCCCTTTTTTGATGCTAAAATAGACTCCCTTTTGTTAAATAATGTTGATGATAGATATTTATAATTACTTGGCAAAATGAAAAGTTGGCAACAATGTACAGATAGCCCACCTCTTTTGTACCACCTTTTTTGAAATGTTATAGATCTGTGAAATCCAAGTCTGGACACCTCTGCCTTTAAACAATTTAAAGCAAGAACCATATAAGAAAGACTCAATAAGTGGGAGAGATAGCATATTGGTGCCATCTTTCAAGGTTAGGAAATGTAATTATGCTCTAGTTCAGGAATCATCTCAAAGACCCAATTCTCTATCTTCTTTAACAAGTCCCTAGTCTTGTTAACTCCCTTCTCCTGCTGGTCCTACCTGGCTTTCTCTCCTATTCCACGTCAAGTTCTGCTTTTTTGTTTTGTTTTGATTGATGTCATTTCTAAGTATTGCTCAGTGGACCCTCCCTCTGGTTAAGATACATTTTCTAAATAAGTTGCCCCAGTACAAATTATTCTACAAGTTTCTTAATTCTACAATTTCCCTTATTTACTTGAATTGTCAAAGGCAATAATATCTGTCATTTTTGCTTCGTTTTGTTTTGTTTTGGTTTTTTTAAAAAAGGTATCATGCACATTACAGAAAATTTAGAGAACTACCAAAAAAAACACAAAAGAGAAAAATTAAAATAAACCCTAATTCTACCAATTAGAGGCAACAATTATTAATATTCTGTGTCATATTCAACTAATGTGGGAATCATACCAAACATACTATCATTAAACACTCTTTTAAATTAGGATTTTTTAATGTTTGCACAATACACCCAAAGATATTATAATTTATTTAACCAACCCTGAGGCTCAATTTTTTTTAACAAGAAAACTTTAAAAACCAGTATCTCTTCCTTATTCTTTAGTATCAAATTAGGGCACAGTAAAAATACATAAATAAAAGCAAAGAAAAAGAAGCCACCACCACATACCAAAAACTGAAAGATCGTAATAGCTCTATCCTTTCAGATATATAGTATAATCCTTCTAATCCTTTTCTGATTAAATATTCCATTTAAATGTAATTCAGCTTTACATTCTTTTGGGTTGTTTTGTTTTGTTTTGTTTTTTTGAGATAGGGTCTCACTCTATTGCCTGGGCTACTGTGCAGTGGCACATCATCATAGCTTACTGAAACCTCAAACTCCTGGGCTCAAGTGATCCTCCTGCCTCAGCCTCCCAAGTAGCTGGAACTACAGGCATGCACCACCATGTCCGGCTAATTTTTCTGTTTTTAGTAGAGATGGGTTCTCACTATGTTTCTCAGACTGGTCTCGAACTCCTGGTCTCAAGCAAGCCTCCTGCTTCAGCCACCCAAAGTGCAAGGATTACAGGCCTGAGCCACCATGCCCAGCCTAAATTTACATTCTTTATCATGTGTCTTGTGATCCCTATCATTTATAGGGAACTGTGTATGTGCAGAGTAGGCTTAGCTTTATATGAACTTATCTAATCTTCTAAACAAATGATTACACAAAACAAAAATAACTTAGGTATACAACAAACTAGCAATCCTAGATTCATATATTTCAATATTAGAAACACTTGAATTTTAATTTACCTTGAACAAATTTGACACAGTGATTGAAGAGAAACACTGGGCATATAGGTTAAGGCAGCATTGTAACACAACAAAAGGAAAGTCAACACTTCAAACCTAAAGACAAACCAAAAGAATATTAACAAATCTTTAGAATTCTAAGCAGTCAACCGTAATAGGCAAGAGGGAAGTCACAGGGGAGAGATACCATGTTACAGAACAGACCTGTATAATATACCCACGACAGTAATGAAAAACTAAAAGGAAAAAAAAAGACTTTCCATATGACTTTCCAGTCATATGAAACTTATCTTAAAACTTCAATGCTCCAGATGACATCCGAGGCAAAGTACAGTGACAAATCTAGATGCGTTTTCCTCTTGCATAAAATGACTCAATATTCAAATAAATTGTTACACATAACTTATTTAAGCATTATTTATAAATCTACTGAAATAATTGTTTTAAAAAATCAGTGTAGTAAAATAAAAAAGTTATGTCTCCACAGTATACCTATTCTGTGCTGTCAGCATCTCCCTCTGAGGATGAGGTCCACTGTACACAACTTTTGATAAACCATGCTGGGATAGTGCACTCTCGGTCAGAGCCATGGACCCAATGCTGGAAGGCTAGAGAAAAGACATTTGAATAAAGAAAAAAAAAGCTATCCTGTTGAAAATGTGATATTTAGAATATATACACCACTAAGAATGGCTACCATGAACATCACATAGCTTAAAAATATTTAGACTGCCTACTAAATTTTCTGCTCAAAGATTTAATAAATAATTAAAAAACAAAACACTAATGAGAAATAAAAAATAATTTAATTTTCAAAAATTCTACCATGGAAATAAACAATTGCCACACATACACAAAAAAAGTTAGTCTCATCCATCAGGAGGAGAGAAAAATATTTCACAAAGAATACTTTTAATAGATCTCTTATCAGATTTCAAAGTTTGACGATTTTGATTTCTCATCACACTTTGGGAATAGTAAATACTTTGTTTGGTGCTTTATACTTTTTAAGATACTAATAAACTGATCAATTTTTTTACCTCAATAACTACATCACAATTTATGGAAATATCAAAGCTTAGGGCCAATACACTTACTTTGATAAAATGTCACTTACTTCATGATACACAGACGGTTTGGATAAAGAGGGAATCGTAAAACTCAATACTTTGCTATGTCCCTGTTTGTCAACTATTTCCTACAAAAGAGAAAGAAAATATCTTAAAATATTTATTTTTTACACATACATTTAAAAGCTAAGTTTAAATTGCTAGTGTAGATTTAAAAAAAAAAAAACCTAAGTAGAGGCCGGGCGCGGTGGCTCACGCCTGTAATCCTAGCACTCTGGGAGGCCGAGGT